GACTTCTCTCGGCAGTCAACCTGCGATGCCAACACTGCCGAAGTAAGCCCATCATAGAAGAGAAGTAGATTCTTCAATAGACCAGGAAGGGACCAGCCTTTTTGTGAGCCTCTTGAATTGGCAAATGAGCGAGTCCGCAGAGTGGAACCTGTCCATGTGGATGCAAACGAAGATTCGGAGAAGGAGGGTCCACAACTCAGAGGACAGGTCGTGATCCATGCTCAGAGACCGGGCGCTTGTTTCCAACTCGGTTGCCTCGAAGAGGTCAAGAGGATCTCTTGAACGCCCCATTAGATTCTGGCATGTCTCTACCAGGGAGTCCATGTAGATTTCGTTATCAGCAGTGCTGTCGTTGAGGCGCTCCCCACAGCTGTTGATAACAGTTTCAAGATTATCTCCCATGAAGAAGCGAGTCAAGCTACTTGTAGCTCCTCGCGTCTCACTAGAAAAAAGGTCCTGTTGTTGCAGTGGGTGCATCGAGTTAGAGAAAAGAAAAACGTTGAACACAAGGTGGCGTTGCAAACCAGCAATTGTGTCGGCATGTAGCAAGCTCGCTCATCATCGTACCTCAGTAAGCTCAAATGATGTGATAGAATCATTGTAGGTCTTGCTACGGCGAGAGATTCGAAGAGTAGCTGAGTTTCCCATTCTTTCAGTGTGTTGTTTCAGGAGGGATGCGTTTTGAATTGTGAGGCGAGGAATGTTGGCAGTGCTTGGCTGCTCTAGCTAGCGGGTAGTCAGTATGAAGAGTATAAGCCATGCAAAGCGAGTGGATAAAAGTCCCTTGGCAACCGAGCCTGAAGGCAACCTGAGAAAGCTGTGGAACCCACTGTAATTCCGCCACAACTATGTCACTATGTCTCTTTTCTTCAGGTCTGCCGTCTGCCGAGCCCACTTACTTACTTTGTTCTTCACTGCACATCGATGCTAAATGTTCAAGAGCTTGTTCAAGTGGGTTTGTCGAAGAAATGATGCAGCTGTGCCAACCCACACAAGCCAATTCACTCTGCCATGTCCCTGCCACCACACTCAACAAGAGCTCCACAAGCCATTCGACGGACATTGACATCATGGCGACAAGGCAACATGTGCCGATCCTCTAAGAGAACACTCAAGAAGTTGGGAACAACCCAGTGAACTTTATTGTTAAGTATGTAGTTCTCCTTGTCAGGTTCATTGACCTTCTCAGACCAACGAATCGAGAAACTGTCATTTTAAATAAATCACGGTTATCCAATCCTGCATTTTCTACCGTTAACATGAAAAATAGGGAGGAGTCGCATACATGTACATGTAGGTTCTCTTGTTTTAAAGGGATGTAACTATAGCAAGTATAGTACAAAAGTCTTCAACCCACTGCACAAGTAAGCAAGTTTAAAAGTAAGTACCAAACTGCTTCTACTCGAGTTACATACTCCGTACTCCGCACCGTACGACTGTACCAGTATCGTAGGGTACTGTACATTGCACCACCAACCCACCAAGCCAAGCCACTAGTCCAAGCTGAGCCGAGCAAAAGATCTAAAGATATCTAACAGTGAAGCACAAAGGCATGCAAGGATGCATGGTGAATCACAATCCACAGGCCTTCCAACAGTAGTGATGCCCTCTCTCTTGATCGAAGCTATTCTCCCTGCACCCTGCACAACGGTGCAAAGGCTTGCGGATCACCAAAGAAGCAAGGCAGCCTCGGAGCTTATGTTATCATGCACCTCCAAACTCCAAAACTAGCTAGTAACCAATTCTACCAGCGCGAAGCGCGATACTGTAGCCTTTCTCTGATGAAGTGTATTGAAGCTTTTTGTCGACGGAGAAGTCTCTAGAACAGTACGACTGTACAAATCAAGGGTTGGAATCCGCAAGGTCCAAAGCGCGTCTTACAGTTGCACAGCATCTTCTTCAAGGTATCTTTAGCTATTCTTACACCTTACACCAAGCCAGCGGGCTAGATCTGCCGGTAGCATGCTGGTTCTGGTTTTTGCTTGGACAGAACCGAGGAGGACCATGTTTCTGGCTTGCCAGTCAACGTGAAGAAGCAATATCCTGGCTCGCGGCTTTGGCCCGCGGTGACGAATGACCGAGTACTAAGGGAAAAGATTCAAAAGTTGACTGCAGATTTTGTTCGCTCGTGTTACTGTCTCCAAAGGAAAAAGGATAAGAATTACGTGTACCTGTAGGTACCGCGGTACCGGTACCATACTTCAGATAGATTGGAAGGTTGCGCCATGACCGGCAGCTGGTTCTCTGGTACCTGGTACCTGGTACGGTACGATACTGGAAGACGCGGCAATTATTGAATCCCCCTTGATTCAGTTGAGTCGTGCGAAAAATCCAGCAGTCCATCGGGGAGGTTCAAATTTGATACAAAAACCCACATTCAGTAATTTCAGTAATTGTCAGAAACGGCGACTGGATTTTTTCAGTAGCATCAGTAAAATCAAGTAATTTCAGTAAAATTCAGTAAGAAACCAGCAGATTGAGTAGCTCTCAGTTTCAGTTCAGGAGCAACAGCAACAGCAACAGCAACAGCAACAAGAAGCGACTATCGACAACAAAAGAGCATCGACACCACAATAGTAGCATCGGCACAAGCAACAAGAGCACAATGGCCTCCGCTGAAGAGGAAGAAAGAGACAAGAAGTGGGAATCCAGTGAAGCCAAAGAGCTTTTGAAACAAGATCTCATCAGCGGGGATATCCCTTTGTCTTGGTCCGCTGCCATGGCGTACAAGCATCGGCCTGAGTTTAAAAAATTTGAGGAGTCTCGGTTTACCAACAATTTCTACACTCTCCGAGCAAAGCTAGAGAAAGACTACAAGCGTGTGGAGACCGATTCTGTAGCATTTGAGTGGGACCTTGTCCGTCTACAGGAATTGCGAGAAGAGAATCCTCCACCAAAGAAGCCATACCCAGATTGGTGGCCGCACAAAGCGCGTAAGAGTTTGCAAGCTGACATCGACAATGATCGCCAAGTTGGATTAACACCAACAGAGCTTTGGACCACAAGGGATGAATATCAAGAGTTTCCCTTGACTATTTTTCGAAAACACATCTACCAAGAGATCGATGGCCGTGCCTCTCGCAAAGTTCGATTTGCCAAGAAGAAAATGCGACAGAAGTACACCAGCGCTCAACCACGTGACACGGTTTTGCCCGCTGAAACTGCAGCCACACTAGTGGAAATGATGAAAGCTCGGGGGGATGAGGAGGAGTAAAAAGAAGAAACAAAGAATAGTAATACTTTATATAGTTTACGTGCAGTGCATCGTGCCTGCCATTAGTCTTCCATCTGAGTGAAGCCCCCACCAAAATCCGCCTCTTCTTCATTGTTGGCTAGCTCTGCTTTGAGAGTCTCGAAGTCTTGATTTATTTCATTGACGACACCATCCAGTTTTTCATCAAAGGAAGTGTGGTCAGAATTCAAAGCAGCCTCTTGTTGTTGTTATCAAGCTGTCGTGCACGGGCAATCTTCGCTGATCTCTTTCTATCTCTGTTTCGAGCAGCAGACTCAACCCGCTCTTCTCGCAGTTGCTGTGCATTCGCAAGGCGACTGCCGCTCCTCTTTGCACTGTCAGAAAACTTGCTCAAGTTCATCCCTGGATGGTCAAAGTTAGTCTGGAATGTTCCAGCCGACAAAACCGGCGCAGGTTGTGGTGTAGCCGTACCAACTGGCACAAGTTTTGGAACCGAAGACTTGACCGGCTGCGGGGCCGGCATTGGTGCTGTTGGCGCTGTTGGCATTGGTGGAGCCATTGTTGGTATCGTCGGCATGGAAGGTGGTATGTACGTACCAGTAGCTGATGTTGATTGGGGTGTTCCCCTGTTCACAGCAGCTTGCAGCGACGATCCTCCAACACAAGCAGAAGAGCTTGTCACCCCTTGTGGTTTTGGCCTTGGCTGCTTGCTTTGTCCGGATGTACTCTTGACTTGCTGCAAAGAAGCCATAAATGACATCGAAGGTGGAGCCGGAAGGGCTCGGATAGTCGACGTAGCAATGGGTGCTTTCACAAAAGATGGAGTCAGCTCTGCTGCTGATGACGATGGACGAGGATTGCCATTTCCGTCAGCAGCGACACCACCAAGAGACATCCCTAGAAACAACAACACAATATCCAAGAAGCAAACAAAACGATTATAAAACAAATGGTTGGCTACCCTACACAAGCCAATCAAAGCCCGGCCATACCTTCAAAAGCACTGTCGATCCCATGGTCATCACCTTGGAGGGCAGCAATCAGCTGACGATTTTCCTGTACAAGACGCACTTGCCAGTAAAGGTTGAAAAAGACCTGCTGGACTTGACGACGAGTTGCTCCGGTTGTGAAGGTGCTGGTCTTTTCTCGAACTTTGGCGTGGACCTTTACATCATATCGAGGCATATTTTCGGTGAAGTCAGCGGATACCCCAAGGCCAGGAGGCATGACAATGAGAATTCGCTTCAAATAGTGAGACTCGTCCTCTTTGATAGATGTCATGGCCTCTGCTGTTTTCTCTTCAGTGCGAGTGCATCGAACCTTCTCCTTTGCAAGCAGGTCCGCATGTTCAGTCATCATGTATGTGGGAAGAGCAGTCAGAGTAATCAACAATGCTGATCCCTCAAGGACGACAAAGCAAGAGAGTGAAGCAAAGTCACGAAGGTCAACAAAGAAGGGTACCGTAATCTTCATCTTGGAGGCAAGTTCATGAGCCGAAATCTTGATGTCGTCAATCCGCTGAACAAACAATCCACCAGGGTAATCCTCTGGCAAATCCCACTGAGCCACAACAACTTCATCGGCAAAATCAGAGGCTGCATCGAGGTCTCTGAATTTGATTTTGCCTGTCTGAAGTGGGCCATTGTGACCGGCAACAGTGGTGGAGCTCATGGTCGATCGCACTGACAAAGGTGACGTAAGATCTGCCTTTCTTCTTGCCCGTGGAGTTCCAGCAGGGATGTTGATTTCTTTTGGTGGAGGAGATTGTAAGATCTCTTTTGGAGGAGGAGATTTTAGGGGAGTGCCGCTTCTTGTAACTGGACGATTACGAAAGGATTGGTCGGTTGGTGCAAGGAGCTCTCTTTCCTCGGATGATGTGTCGTCGTCACCGGCCACGGACCCAAGAAATTCCTCTTCGTTTTGTCTGGTATTAGCCGCTCCAGTAGCACCAATCTTTGACAAGTTCGTGTAATAGAGACCAGGATTTTTCTTCTTTTGTAGAAGCAAGTAGCTGTGTCGATTTTGGGTTGCCTTCTTGTATTTTCCACCGTAAAGCTCAGGTCTATGCGCAATCAGGTTCTTGCAGGACCAAGCTGGGAAAGCCTCGATATCTCGATGCACTTGATCTGAAGCTTCCTTTGTCAGGGCGATGTTTGCCGCTCTCTTTTTCTTCCCCTCCTGGCCATTGCCAAGGTCCTAGCTGCTTATTTGTGGTGTTTGAGACGAAAGATCCGCTTGCTGTTGACCACCCGAAAGATTCCAATACAGATCTCCTCTATGAATATATTGATAAAGCACCAGCATTCCTTCACAAATCCTACTTAAAGATTCATGGCGCGCTGGTGCAAGTTTTGGTCACAGACGATAGATTTAGCTGTCATTGAGGGCTGGGCTGGCAGGAAGAATCTTCAGGGTTCTGGAAGAGGTTTTGAGTGCCAAACGCCAAAGCACAAGTTGTTCCATCAATATATATATATATATTTGTCTAGCAATGGCCTCCAAGGATGAGGTTTCCACGGCCTCGGCATCTCCTCGAGCCAAGCTGTACCCGGAAAAGCATTTTATGATGCTGGGTATGCGGTATGGCAGATTTCCCAGATGGAAGAGCTACAAACCAGCCCGTTGTATTCAACGTTTCAAGGAGCAATTTGGCTGTCATCCGAAAACTGTTGCAGATCTTTGGGAAAAGCTTCGAAATCATGACGATGAAGCGATCCGTCTACCAAAGAAAGCAAAACCAAAAGAGCTCCTGATCGGCATTCGACATCTATTCAAATACCACACGGAGCCTGACCTTGCCATGTTTTTCAACATCAAAACTGGGAAGACTGCCAGAAAATGGGCAAGACGGTACATGAAGAAGATTGCGCTGCTTTTGCCAGAAATGGTGGGTACACTGGCCGACAATGATGAGGGACTTATTTTCTTTATGTCTCTGGATGGTACGCATTGTCCAATCGAAGAACCACGACCTTGGTCCAAAAAGTGGAGCAGCCACAAGTTTGGCGGAAAGCCCGGTGTGAACTATGAATTCGGTCTGTTGTTGCATAAAGCAAAGCTTGGTTGGATCCATGGGCCAACACCCCCAGGAGAGAAGAATGATTTGGTGGTATTCCGTAGCAAGTTGATGCACGAAATGCCAGCTGATCGACGCTTGATTGCTGATTCTGGGTACACCGCAGAGCCCGATTACTTCACCACAAAGAATGAGCTTGACCCAAAGAAGCTCTCCAAATTCAAAGATAGAGTCCTTTCTCGGCACGAGAATTTCAATCAACGAGTGAAGTGTTTCGCAATCACCAGGACGAAGTTTCGTCACCGGGGTTTTGGGGAGAATTGGGAAGAAGCTCATGAGACTGCGATGCATGCTGTCTGTGTGATTGTGCAACTGCACTTGGACAATGGCACACAGAGACTGCTTGATCCTTATAGTGTATAGATGTTGCTTGTAGTCATTGGGTTTTGTTGTCGATCCGTACTGTTACCATCGGTTCTAACTAGTCTATACAGTTGTAGCCGATAGTGTTGCGTTGCCGTTCATTTCCGGTTTTGGGCTCGGGATTCGGGACTCAGAGTTAATACGTTTCAGTAGGATTCAGTAGGGTTAAGTGTGACTCAGTACGTTTCAGTAAATTTCAGTAAATTTTGAAAACGTCAGTATTTCAAATTTACTCAAATTACTGAATTCAGTAATTTTCAGTTTTAGTCAGATTCAGTAGGTTTTTGGAGCAAATCGCGACTCTCCCGGGTGACAGCTGGATTCCAAATCTGCACAAATTAAGCACGATTCAATAATTGCCGTGTCTTCCTGTGCTGTACATGTACGGGTACATGTACCTGGTACCGGTAGGCTCCGCGAAGAGCTCTTTAACTCTAATGCAAAACGTCGGACAGCGTCTGTTGTCGACCGGTCCAAAGTCTGACCGATGCATGCATGGGGCATGGGGCGATGGATGATAGTGGCTCAGAGGCTCCTCGGTCTCCTTGGCTCCTGTGTGCTAAGCTTGCGACTGCAGGTATGCATTATACTGTAGAATGAACAAACCCATCAGTCGCTGCCACAAGAGAGCGTACAATAGGTTGATATTCCTTCCCTGTGTTCTTTTGTGGCATATGCATTCAAAGGTTGTCATGGCCTTCTTCACCCAGATACAGCTGCACTCTCCCATCTTTGCTGCTCGTACTGGTAGACTCCAAAGAGATCGGATCCGACCCATTGTTCGTCGGCTCCTTGTAACCACCGATGGAACCGCCGCCAAAGATTCAGAAAGTCATCTCCTTCCCAGACTCTACGTAGGGCCACTTCCAGAGTCTCCAGGGTCGCTATCGCAGTACCTATCGGATGCATTGGATTCTGCCGGCAAGGTATCCAGCAGCATGGCAAAGAAAGGAACGACGCTGCTGTTATCCAGCGATCAGTCCCACTACGTGACCAACGTGATGCGAATGATTGGCCCCGGAAGCAAAAAGGGCCGATGGAGTTATCAGGGGCAGCAACCGTGTATCAGGATCTTTGATGGAAACACCGAATGGGTAGCTCTCTTGGATCTTCTGAGCGACCTTGGCGGCGTTCCCGGCAAGAAACGACCCAGACGACAAGAATACACAGTGGTGGCTCAATGTCTATCCCTCCTAAGAAGTAAAACCAGTTCAAACCACCAAATGCAAGCAGTGGAAAATGACTCCGTGACTTCATTGCTCCCCATTCTGTGCTTTGCACCACCCAAAAAGAAGGAACGCTTTCAATGGATCCTGGAAAAGTCCACAGAGTTGGGAATGGACGCCTGGTTGTTGTTGAGCACAGATCGGACAGAGGCAGCAAGAACCTCGGCTCGAGACTATCCACGAAAAGGACAAGCGTATGTCTTGGAGGCTACGGAGCAATGTGAACGTCTTTGCCTCCCCCAGCATCTATCACTTTTTGGGAGTGGCGAGGATGATCAAGATGTGAACGATGCAAATTTTAATGACATCGACAACCCCGCCACTTCAACAAATTCATTGACCAGTCTGTGGGACCTGCTGGATCACTTGAGTAACGACCAAAACAATCAACAAGTATCAGTGCTGATTTGCCGGGAGCGAAGCCCCGAGAGCACACCCATACTACAGGCTTTGCAACGCATTCAGTCCCAAGTTAGCACAGAAAAAGACGAGCAGACAGCCATTGGTTCACCAATGCACCACTGTTGCATGGTATTCGTTGGACCAGAAGGCGGATGGAGTCCTGCTGAGGAAGACACCTTCGACAGACTTTGCGACGAGAACAGTATGTTTTGGAGTGTTTCCTTGGGGGGCAATGTCCTGAGAACTGATACAGCAGCGGTTGCTGCCATCGCGGCATTCTCCTTTCACAGTGATCAGCACCAGTAGCAACGCGCAAATGATCTCAAACGGGGGTGTCAACTTATGATTATCTACGCGCAAATGATTGGTAGACTCTAGTTCTGGCCACTAGTTGCTGTTGTACATATAACAGTAATCTGCTCAAGTTAGTTATGAAGAATATATGTATGAGCCACGCACTTGTCACAGTGGTCACAGGAATGTGCCATCATGATTGCTCATTGGATTCTGCCGGGGACTTAATGGAGATGTGGTGAAGTTGGAAGGTTGATGTCTTGATTTGCTGTCTTGTCATTGTGAACGAATAGTGTTGTCTAAAAGTTGGGCTGTTCCAGGAAGTCTAGAACAGGTCCTCTGGCACGGATTTCCTTTGGCAAGGTAACATCACTAGCTGGAGTCATGGTGGCAGCTGTGGATACCGTAGTAGCCGACATGGGTGTCAATGGCGTTTTGGTTGGTGACAGGTTCAGCTGGGACCCTGGACTCTCAGGACAAGGCACCTTACTGAAGTGCGAGCTAGGACTGTGACTATAGGAAACCTCAGGAGTTGGAGGTTCCCGGGTCCCAGAACGGAGCGTGCGCAGCAAGCCAAAGCGATTCTTGGTGGGGACATCGT